ACGACTTAATGATGTTTTATGACGTCTCTAAACGTCAATAATACGTTTTTAAGACGTTATACAGAAACGTCATTAAGATGTCACAAAAAAGACGTTTTAAAGACGTCGTTATTTAGTCACTTGACGTCATTCGACCAGTTATGACCATTTTTTTTACGTCATTTTGACGTGAGTCTGTTACTTTGGCTGATTCTTGTGTCGTTCACCTTACCTACTGCGTCACTGTCACTTTGATTGAGAGACGCTTTATATTGTGTACATGTTGGGTACATTTCGTCCTCGTATGTTTGTTTCAAAATGCCGCGCTCTGCTAGATGCGATCTGCCTTATCGGTCGCTCGGTGCGACCGGTCGTGAATTCACGCGACAGGCTTAGTGCTCCCGCCCGATCGGTATGTGGCGTTACAGAGGAGGGTATGCGCACGCGTCAGCACTCTCTCGCCTCACTTCGACGAAGACGTCACGTTTGTTTTATCCGCTGCGTTAGTTTTCGGTTTTTTATATAATAGCGCAATAAAGTGTTGTGCAGCATAGTAGACTGTCGATTCAAGAGCCTAGCCTTTCCAGTCAAGAAAAGAATTTAAATAAGAGAAACACTCGTTTCTCGACCACGCCCGATCCCGAGAAGACTCCGTGGGTTACCTGCGTGGAGGCACTACGCCATTTCCATAACATTGTCGCTGGTCCTTCGAGCCGGATATTGTGGCATCCTTGGAATTGTCCGGGTGGTCGACAGAACGTCAGAACGAGCAAGCAGCGCGAGGTACAGGCGACTAGCATCCGAGGGAACCTAACCTCCAAACGCGGGAACATCGCCGCATCTAGAGAGCTAGGTTTACTATCAGGCGACAAGCATATCGCTACATCCAGGACATCGAGGTTCATCCAGCAGTCACGAGTACGTTCCAGTTTCACCAGAACTGCGAGAACTGCTGACAGCCAGAACAGGTCATCGTCGTCCGTGCGAACGAGCTTCGCATCTATCGAGAAGATGATGAACGCCAGGATCGACGCCGATAGTCATCAGACTGCAGAATATTGTCCGGCTTTATCTCACCGAGGAGCTTCACACCAAATAGCGTGCATTATAATACTGTGTGCATATTAGTGTAAGGTAGGGGTAACCGTCTAGTGTGTGCGTCAATCAGAAACAGCATCGCATCGCGATTCGAAATGTCTAACGATCAGAACCCAGTCCTCATGAGAAGACAGCGTGCCATGATCAAAGGGTCTTGTATGCGAACAAATACGTATGTCGATTCTATCGTTTCAGTCAACCCGACGGTGACAGCGCAATTCGAAGAGCGCCGAGCCAAATTAGAACAGTACTGGTCGGAATACAATACGGTACAGTCACAATTAGAAATTCTCGACGAGAACGAGGCTAATGACCGTGTTCTATTCGAAGAGGCTTTTTACACATTATGCGTGAAAATACGGGAAATATTAAATCCTCCGCGTCTCTCGTCACGCAGTATCGCAACTCCATCGTCGCCATCGACGTCTAATACTTCTGACATGCCAGAATCCATAGCTCATGTGCGTCTTCCTAAGCTAAATCTTCCAACGTTTTCGGGCAAGTATGATGAGTGGTTCCCATTTTTCGATACGTTCAACTCCATCATACATTCAAACATTTCACTGAGTAGCGTCCAGAAGCTTCAATATCTACGAGCTCGTTGGAGAAGCATCTGATGTCATCAGCTCACTAGAAATTTCCGATGTGAACTATGCCGTCGCGTGGAATCTCCTAAAAGAACGTTATGATAACAAGCGAGTGATCGTGCACATGCACATTAAGGCGATCATGGAGCTTCCGTCCATGACCAAAGAAAATTGTTGCGAATTACGGAAAATCGCGGATGGTGCATCCCGTCACATACAAGCTCTTCAAGCTTTGAAGCGTCCAACAGCTTACTAGGACGATTTATTGGTCCATATCTTGAGTTCTAAGCTTGATACGCTCACATTGCGAGAATGGCAATCGTCTTTGACCGGCTCGGATCTTCCAACCTTGAAACAATTTACTGATTTTATCGCGCACAGATGCCAGGTCCTCGAAGCTACCGACAAGTCTAATGTCGCTACTACGCGACCCATCAATACGCGGTCGCAATTCAGTACAAAGCGTCAATCAACTCACACCGCGATAGTCAAGTTCAAGTGTAGTTATTGCCGCGGCGAACATTCAATTTATCACTGCAAGGAATTCTTGTCTCTTCCGGTCTCTCGTAGAAACGCAGTGATCAGTGATCGCAAGATCTGCCTTAACTGCTTGCGCTCCACGGATCATACAGCTAACAAATGTAGTTCGGGGAGATGCAAGGTCTGCAAGGCCAAGCATAACACATTGCTTCATCCAGTGAACGATTCCGAAGCACGTAACCGCGTCACGAGCACTCCTAAAGAACCGTCTTCAGGGACGTCTCCGATTGCGTTGGCTACGCACGCGGTTAGCTCTCTCGATAAAGGATATGTCATGCTATCCACGGCCGTTGTGCACGTTTACGATGTGCACCATTTGCGTAAACCGTGCCGAGTGTTATTAGACTGCGGGTCGCAAGCGAACTTCGTCTCTAAGAAGTTTCTAGACACACTCGGTTTGAAACCTCGCTCATTAAACATAACTATTTCAGGTATAAACGGAACGGCATCTAGGTCCACTCAAACCGTTCGTTTGAAATTGCAATCGCGCTTGAACTCATATGCGGCCGACATCGAGTGTATAGTCACCAACTAAGTCACAGCCGAGCTTCCATCATTCACCCTCAAGCGAGACAATTTCGACCTTCCACGCAATTTGGAGTTAGCGGATCTTCAATTCCATGAATCGTCAGAGATCGACGTTCTGATTGGAGCGGAGCTGTTTTGGGACCTGCTTTGTGTAGGACAAATCAAATCTTTATCAAGTCACCCGACTTTACAAAAAACATGTTTAGGATGAGTGTTAGCTGGTCGGTTAGGCAGCTCTCCGAAACCGCAACGGAAGTTGCATTCTCTTCACGCAACCGTAACTAACGTAGAGTTACATGAACAATTAACTCGGTTTTGGCAACAGGAAGACATAATCATCAACGAGACGACTAGATATATTCTAGAGGAAGCTCGCTGTGAGCAACATTTTCTCAAAAACGTATCGCGAAACAAGGAGGGTAAATACATCGTAGGACTTCGTTAAGGAAGGAGTGATAGATAGTTTGGGTAGTTCTAGGGACATCGCGCTAAAACGATTGCATAATTTAGAAAAACGATTCAAGCGTGATACTACTTTAAAGGAACCCTATACGCGATTCATGAACGAATATTTGTTTCTAGGGCACATGAAGATGGTAAATGTACGCTCTAATGAAGAAGCCGCGTCAGTTTACTTGCCTCACCATGGCGTTACTAAGGTCTCGGAACAGTCGTCAAGGCTTCGCGTCGTATTCGACGCATCATGCAGGAGCAGCACCGGGTTGTCGTTGAATGATGCATTAATGGTAGGACCGGTTATTCAACAAGATTTAGCGTCTATTTTAATGCGTTTTCATACGTTTCGCTACGCATTCGCGGCGGACATAGTCAAAATGTACAGGCAAATCTTAGTTGATCCGTCACAAACGCGACTGCACAGAATTTTATGGCGTAGCGATACAGAATCCGAAGTCAAGACATACGAGTTAATGACGGTAACATATGGAATCTCTCCCGTGTCGTATTTAGCAACGAGATGTCTTAAGCACTTAGCTGAGCAGTATGCGTCTGAATATCCGGTAGGCTCTGAACGTGTCAAGCGCGACTTTTACATGGATGATTTGTTCACTGGAGCAGACACAGTCGATGACGCAAAATTAGTCCGCGACCAAATAATACAATTGTTGCGCTTAGGAACATTCGAGCTTAGCAAATGGGTATCTAACTGCCCTGAATTGTTGGAAAATGTAGAGAAGCCACGCAGCGAGTTAGTTGCAATTAGCGACGGAACAAATTCTCGTGTCCTAGGTGTCAAGTGGAATCAGTCAGATGATACTCTTTGCCTTTCTTATGAGACTTGCGAGACTTGCGACGCGGTTACCAAACGCTCGATATTGTCAGAAGTTGCAAGGTTATTCGATCCTCTTGGCCTCCTCGGGCCCATAGTCGTAATTGCGAAGCTTATTCTACAGAAACTCTGGCAATCTGGCAGTCACTGGGACGAAACTGTTCCCCAGTCTGTTCATTCTCATTGGGTCAGGCTCAAGCTGCAATTGTCCAAGCTAGATAAAATACACATACCGCGATGAATCAAATTTAGTACGAATTCACGACTCGTCCAGATACACGGGTTTTGCGATGCCAGCCAATATGCGTACGGTGCGTGCGTATACATTTGCACTAGGTTAAACGCAAACGAATATCGCACTGAATTACTATGCTCAAAATCGCGTGTCGCATCTATTAAGGCCGTATGCTTGCCCCGATTGGAATTAGCAGCTGCGCTGCTGTTGGCGCGATTGATAGATAAAGTAGGAACATCTTTCGACGTATCCCAAATTCGGATATTCCTTTGGTCGGATTCCACAATTACTTTGAACTGGATAACGTCACCTTCAAGAAAATGGACGGTTTTCGTAGCCAACCATGTGGGAGAAATACAACGCTTGACGGAATTGAAAGATTGGCGGCACGTTTCGTCTCACGACAATCCTGCCGACATCCTATCGCGAGGGCTCGAGCCTAATGAACTGGAGATCTCGAAGTTGTGGTGGCATGGGCCAACATTTCTGCAATTTGACGAAGAGCACTGGCCAAGTAGTAACTTCATTCGCTCTGATAACGATCTTCCGGAGAAACGAGTATCTTCTCTCGCAGTTGCCGTATTTAGTTGTACCGTATTTAGTCGTCGTCGACGAGTTGTTGGATAGATACTCCAGCTTGACCAAGGTGTATCGCATCGTAGCTTATTGCCTTAGATTTCGAAAGATATACCGTCCTACAACGCCGACAGTTTTCATTTCTCACGAAGAAATGTTCTTAGCTTCAAGAGTGATTTGCAAGGTGGTCCAAAGACGCACATTTCCTGAGGAATATAGGGATTTAAGCATGGGCAACCCTATCAACACAGCTAGTAGATTACTTTCTCTATCGCCCTTCCTAGATAAAAACGCGTTAATAAGAGTGGGTGGCAGATTAAAAAACTCGAATTTGCAATTCGATGCTCGTCATCCCGTTCTATTACCACGTGATCGCGAATTAACTAAACACATAATAAAGTATGAACACGTCCGTAATATGCACGCCGGAGCGCAAGCCACCATGGCTGCCGTTAGACAGCGATTCTGGCCGTTATTGTTGCGCTCGACCACGCGAAAGATCGTTCGAACTTGCGTAATATGTTTCAAGGTTAGACCGTCACAATCAGAGGCCGTAATGGGTTCGTTACCCTCTAGCCACGTTACCATCTCTAGGCCATTCTCGCATTGCGGCGTTGATTACGCCGGTCCCATAATAGTACGAGAGAGCAAGCGACGTAATGCGCGTAATCATAAGGCATACATTGCGATTTTTGTATGCTTCGCTACGAAGGCGGTTCACATCGAGCTAGTCAGCGACCTGACATCGGATGCCTTTCTTAGTGCATTTCGTCGATTTATCTCACGAAGAGGCAAGCCTGCCTGCATGTACTCGGATAATGGAACCACCTTCGTTGGTGCATGCAGACAGCTTGAAGAATTTCGAGATTTCATAAATAGTGAGCAAGTGCAAAACGACGTCAAGCAGTTTCTCCGTGAGCAAGAGACTTCTTGGCATTTCATCCCACCAAACGCTCCGCATTTTGGTGGTTTGTGGGAGGCTGCCGTCAAATCAGCCAAACACCATATGTATCGAATTGTCGGTAAAGGTCATTTAACATTTGAGGAAATGCAAACCGTGCTCTGCAAAATAGAAGCGATCTTGAATTCACGACCTCTTACACAACTAAGCACCGACTCAAACGATTTGTCTTACCTTACCCCTGGTCACTTTCTGATTGGTACCACTATGAATAGTTTCCCTTCTCGAGATTTGCATGATGTAAATGAGAATAGATTAACGCGATGGCAAAGAGTGGAACAAATGCGGCAGCATTTTTGGCGTAGGTGGAGTAAGGAGTATCTCCATTCCTTGCAAGAAAGAACTAAATGGAAGGTCAGTAAGGGCGTGCAACTGAAGCCCGAACAACTCGTGCTCGTGAAACAACAGGGCTTAGCCCCATTACATTGGATGTTAGGACGCGTTCAGGCGGTTCATGTCGGTTCTGACGGCGCCGCACGAACCGCAGATGTACGCACCGCGAAGGGTTTGCTGACGAGGCCTTTGTCTAAACTAGCGATATTGCCTTTGGATGCGTGAGTTATAATTCGATTATAGCTTTCAATCATTCATTTGTAGCTCGAGCAGACTATGTTTCATTTCTGCGTTCAAATCCTCTACTATGTATCTATTTAGTATAAGTTACCTCTTCGACACTTATTACATTACAATGCGCTCTTCTTCATTTTTTTTTGGTTTTACTCGCTTCATTTAATGTCTAGCGCTCTGTTTAATTGTATGACTCTTAGGTAGTGCTATTTTAGGTTAATCAAGCACTACGCGCCGATTTATCCGATCTGCGTCAAATTATCTCTCGCGTTCGAGAAAACCGAGCGCCTATATTGAAAGCATGTTCTTTCAAGGGAGGCGGCGTTGTTGGGTACATTTCATCCTCGTATGTTTGTTTCAAAATGCCGCGCTCTGTTAGATGCGATCTGCCTTATCGGTCGCTCGGTGCGACCGGTCGTGAATTCACGCGACAGGCTTAGTGCTCCCGCCAGATCGGTGTGTGGCGCTACAGAGGAGGGTGTGCGCACGCGTCAACACTTTCTCGCCTCACTTCGACGAAGATGTCACGTTTGTTTTATCCGCTGCGTTAGTTTTCGGTTTTTTGTATAATAGCGCAATAAAGTGTTGTGCAGCATAGTAGTGTTACTTCCACGATAGATAACTATATAGGGAAATTTGAAAGTAGTGAAATCAGTGACTTACGTGGACAGTCAACAGAGTGATGACTCCGCTTTTGGGTCACTCTGCTTTTCACCGAGTTTACCCTGGGTCTCGGGAGCTTGGCGAAACGATTGATGAATCTGGCGAAAAATCAGCGGTGCTTGTTCTCCTGGCTCGGCCTCGGATGTTCCGATACCACGCGGGTTGATGCGGCCCGCGATTCAGAATTTGATTTCGCAACGTTTGAAATATGAAGGGTAGGCAAAAGTAATTGCAACACAGTCGGATTTTACGACTAAGTATAATATGCTGAATAAGTACACGAAGCTACCAGAGATTAACTATGAGAAGAAAATAATTGCCTTCTCTACAAATGCGCGCGCTTTTATATGTCGCTTTGTCGCTGAGAGTCGTTCTCCGATTGGTCCATGGAGTTATGGCGAGGGAAGAGATTCATTCCTTTGCATGATGTCACCGCGTCGGTGTCCTGAGTGGTGTTTGGGATTCAGTTTTCATGCTCCTGTTTATGTTGGCTTATCGCACTGAGCGATAGCGGTTTCTTTGGGTCGATCCGTCGATTTCGAGACTCTCCAGCAGCACGCAGCATTCGGCATTTTAATTATAATGTTTTAACGCTCGCGAATATGCATATGCGCACGTACTTACATCTAGTAACGTAGGGATAAAATATCTAGTGATATCTGAAATCAGACAAGTCGGCCTCCCGGTCTATAATAATATATTATTAATGTTCTAAAATAGATCCGGACGTTACAGTAGACTGTCGATTCAAGAGTCTAGCCTTTCCAGTCAAGAAAAGAATTTAAATAAGAGAAACACTCGTTTCTCGACCATGCCCGATCCCGAGAAGACTCCGTGGGTTACCTGCGTGGAAGCACTACGCCATTTCCATAACAGTACATATGGTATATCCATATACGAAAGCATATGATTTATTTAAAAGAAGGGAATAGATTCTTTTAAAATATATATTTTAAAAAGTATGTAGAAAGTATATTTAAAAAATATTTACATGTTTTAAAAGTAAGTAAAATAAATTATTTTGTAAATTTAAATAAATTTTTTTCTGATAATAAAAGAAACTTTAATTTGAAACATAAAAAAATACTTTTAATATTAGAAAATAAGTTATTCAGATTTATAAAATGATTTACTTGTATTTTATTTACTTTTAAAACAAGCAAATATTTATTTAAACAGTTTTTACATTTAAAAACACTAATTTTTTCCTTGTAAAGATATCATTTGTTTATTCTTATATATATA